TTAGTTTATTTCACCTTCTAACTCTGAATATCTGGCTGAGAATTTCTCCCTCAAGACATGAATGTGCTGTGAAACTTGTGGATCGGTGACCTGGCTTTCCTTGGAGTGAGTTTTCAGCCCCAATATCCCTGAAGTTTAGTACAAAAAGCACCTAACCTGCTGTTTTTCTCTCTTTTTTCTTTAGGAAAGATCGTTTGTCAGTGAAGAGAACATTGATGGATTTCTAGGCACCGTGTTATGCCCTTCCTCTTGCTCCCAATCAGCACTGGAAAGCCAGGCATTAATTGAGGTGCTGGATGTTACTGAGGACAGAATTCAAATCAGGGTGGAGGTGAGGATCCCTGGCAGCAGCACACACTGCTGACTGATTTATGTTCTTCAGCAAGATCCTATCAAATCCGCCCCAAACAGCCTTGTGCCTGTTTTGCCTTGATGGAGTAGGGAAGAGTAGAGTTATCTGCAAGTATAAATGTCAGGTTTTAGAAGCAGAGGTTGTTTGTGCCATTTAATGTGTCCAAGGGACTGAAACCTCCAGTGTTTCATTTGGAAAATGGAGAGCTGTGATCCAATCATTAAAATACTTCACTCAGCCTTGTACAGGTTGAAATCCTAGAGGATTTTGCCTGGGAAGGATCATAATTTTCATTCAGTCCAAGGATTTGGATACTTGGTGTGTTCCTGTTGTATGGGTAATTAAACATGAGGCAATTATCTTAAACAGTAGGCTCAAATTCACTACTTGTCATGTTCCAGGCCTTTCCTCAGCCACCCTGTCTAGATACAGGAGGCAAAGTAGGCTGTTCCCAGAATCTGCCATGGGGTTGAAATGTCCTCCCTTTGCAAAACAGATGGACAGAGGAAGAAACCAACAAGTTGGTTTTGTAAAGAGGAAAATGTGAGGTGAAACCCCCACATGGACTGGGATTTCTTGGTGGACACTGCATGAGAAATCCTTCAAGGGAAAATGAAACACAGGGACAATCAGGTCACTGCTGTGGCCATGAACTGGGCACTGCAGACAGAGTTAATGTGTAGGAAGGCAAGTTCAGAGGAAGCATGTGATCCCTGGACCTGAGCTGAAGGCCTGAGTTTACCCTGAAGATAGTGGCTCAGCTTTCCTTGACAGGCTTAACTTTGGCAGCTAGTGTGGATTGTGCCTAAAAATCTAAAATTCAAAGTGCTGGAGAGCAGATGTGTAGGTTTTGGGGCCTAAGAAAGGGCAGCTGAGAGATCTTAAATCATCACGTTCCTGATCCTGTGCAGGGTCAGGAGTTGGACTTGATGATCCTTGTGGGTCCCTTCCAGCTCAGGGTATTCAGTGATTCTGTGTTCATGTGGGAGAATCATCCAGTTTCAAGAAGGACTTAGTGGTGTTTCTTGCTGGAGTGAGCAGTGGTTTGGGCTCAGAGAGGGCTGCAGGTGTGAGGGAACAACTCCATCCTTGAATCCATGACTCCAGCTGCTCCTGGACAGATCCCTACCTGATCCTGACTCTCCACTGATAGGGACCTATGAGTTAGCAGCTGGTTTTTGCTAGAACACTCAGCAGTGGTGCAGTTGGGTAACTGTTGGCTTAGCCATCACCTCTCAAGGTTCCTCTCCTGAGGCAAACTGCAGCAATTCCTGGGTTAGCTCGCCAGGGCAGTAATTTCCCTAATTGCAAGGTTCATACACACTCGTGCAGTGAGAGTTCAGATCTCTTGGCTGATTTTTGGCCCCCGAGATCAAGAAAACAGGCTGGGTGTGGTGCCTGCCTGCTGCAATCCTCCAGCCACGGAGGCTGTGGCCACTTGGCCTCTGCCCAGCAGCACTTCCTACTGCAGAGGAAACGCTCAGGAAGCGAATGACCTCCTGTCACTCACTCCCACGTGCCCCACGAGAGCAGGAAAGCCTCAGGACCACACTCACTTGGCTGTCTGGAAGTGGAATCACAGAATCATAGAATCCCCCCCTCTACTCTGCTCTGGTGAGTTCCCACCTGGAGTGCTGCACACAGCTCTGGTGTCCCCAACATGAGAAGGACGTGGAACTGTTGGAGCAAGTCCAGAGGAGGCCACAACCTTGATAAG